CGGTGTAGAACCTGTTTTCTGGCTGTATACAGAAATCAGAATCAAAGCACTTTAAAAAAAATCAAAGCTTTCATTTGGAAAATTGTGAACAGTCCATCTTTAATTTTTACACTAAAAATTGCCATTTAATAAGCATTAAGGAAAATTAAGAAAAAACCCTGTTTGAAAACAACAGCTGCTTCTGAATGTTTTCGGTTGGCTAGATCTATTCTTGAGGTGGCAGAGGCAACCTTTCCCTCCCATTCCACATTCTTCCAAGATTATATGTATATATAATTTATATATATAATATATATAAATATATAACTATACATATAATATACATGTTTTAACTTCTATCTCTAAGAAGGGAGAAAAGCTCTGCCTTTTTAAAAGAGATCTTGGAGTCTATGGGCTAAATCCTGCAATCCTTAGGCAACACCTGCCACTAAAGCCAAAGCTTGCCAATATGGCTGAATGCAATTGTAGAATATGTCCCTGTGTTATTAATACAAATACATGACAGTGCAACACTTAGAAGAAATCTACACAAGATTGATCTTGAAATTGCCCATCTGAGGGACTAGATATAATGCTAGTAAGAGACAGCAAGACTTGTTAGTCAATGGCTGGACAATCTGAGGAAGAGAGCTTTTTGTTGGTGGTGGTTTTCAATCCACATCTAAATGGAGTAATTTTTGAGTATTTTTTCCTGAAAGTTTTACCTACCTGAAATCAGCAAAATGGATTACAGGTTTCACCCACAAGTATGAAAGCTTAAACAATAAAATCCTATTGGATAGGGATGCCAAGATGTGTTGAGCAGAAATAAAATCAAAAGTAAAAGCCCTTGAGCCACTGGCTGTTGGCCTTACAGAATTAAATTATTTACAATTTTTTTCCTTTTTTAAAATGTTTTTTATATTCTGACATGTAAAATAGGAGAGAGGGGGCAAAACAATTATGTAATTATTTCTTGTTATACTGCAAGCACCAGCTACGATCTTTTCAGTCTGTAGATAAGCAAAGATCCTAACAGATAAAACAGTATTAGAAACTGCTAAAGAATCCCAAATGCCCAGGTTCAGAAAGTCACAAGTGACACAGCCTCATGAGTTTTCCAATAATGATCAAGTCACAGATAAGATGCACTTGGTCACTCCAGCCACCGTACTCATCAGTTGCTTCACTTGTATGCTAGATGCCACATGAATTAGTTGTTTTTAACAGAGCCCTAAAAGCAAGGAAGTCCCCCTTTTATATTCTGACTCCTGTCCCATGTGATATGGTCAGTGATTTCAGGGTATTCAGTAAACATTTGTCTAAAGAAAAGTCTCATCAGATTCCAAAAAGCCTGATGCTCATGGGGAAAAAAATATATGTTAATATGCATATTCACAGAGATGTAAATTGGTTTAGATCTAAAGTCATTTGATTCCTGCATGTTTGGCAGGAACCTGAGAGACAGCAACAGGCCTCCTGGGACAGCTATGCCTGTGAACAGGTTCACAGTGTGGGTTTCATAACTGTCTTACTTTCAAAGATGTTCTTCCTTGTGGAAAAGGTCTATAGAATTTAAAATATATGGATCTAATAGAGTCCTGTAAGAAAACCTGTAGGTCTGATCCTATGTGCTACAATGCTACAGCAATATAGAAAAGAAGCAGAACCCCAGGGTGAACTCTGGACCCCAGCGACGTTTGGGAGAGTTTTGATAATGAATGCAATGGAACCCAGATTTTACCTACAGAATTTAATAGAAAATAATAGAAAAGGTCTTGTAACTCTTCAACAGACGCCATGAAATTTGTTTTTGATTTGGCAGGCTGAATGATGACCACGAGAGTAAAGTAAATTTGACGTAATAACAGATTTGAATATTTTGGATAGGTTTTTCACTCTAATTGCTAGAACTGCCCAGATATTTATTTTAATAAAAACAAATAATCCAAAAAGTCTGTATATATACATTTTCTATAGATAGATAGATATTTCTATATAGCTATATCTAGATATAGATATATATAAAATATGTATGTATACAGGCTTTTTGGTTTATTTGTTTTTATTTTAAAAAAATGAAAATCCCACTGAACTGTGGCCCTGCTTTTGAATACTTTGAGAAGTGACTAAAATGTGACACTCCAGACTTGTGCCTCCGGCTTGGTACAGTAAGAGGGAAACTATGCATTTGCTTGCCTTACACTAAAATGGTTGTGTATAAGGAAGAAAGAGCCCCACTTCTATATAAGATCCCAGGCTGAGTTAGCAGAAAACATGTTGCTACTCCAAAATTGGGCAAAACTGAGGCAGAGTCATTGAAAGGAAAACTACTGAGGCTCATAGTCAGATATTGCCAACAGTCACTTTTCAAAGCCATACCTCTTTAAGGGGTCTGTGTCCTAATATATGAAGTGTGTCCTGATTGCTCTTCTCCAGACATTATGCATAAATTCATAGCAAATCAGATTTTCCTCTTCTGTACTGCTGCTCTGCTGATTTGTAGGTCTCTCTCTCTGCCCCCCCCCACCTTTTCTGTATCTTTTGTCTCAACTGTTTCCATACAATACTATTTTTCTCATGACCTTGGAAGCTATATTTGGCCCTTGAATGATGGCTTCTGTTCTGGAGGGGGCATGAATTCAACATGAAGGGAAAGAGAGTAAAGCTTTTTTTCATTAAGGCCCTCTTATGCAGCTGCCAGATAACTGGATTCTCAACAATGACACCTCTTACTAAACCTAAAGCACCCATCAAGCTTCTGATTCTAAAGCAGCCTTATAGAAAGGACTAACTTTACCCCAATCTTCAGGACCTGCAGTCAGATGAAGTGAAAATAGCTGCAGCATGAAGACATGGGCCAAGATTTTTAAAAAATGACTACTTATTCTGAACACCTCAAATTTCAAGCGCTCAGTTTGAAACACCTAAAAAGGGACCTAATGTTTAGTAGAGCATTACTATGAAAAACAGTGCTATATACAGGGAGCGTCTACACGTTGCCCTGCGGGAACATAGAGGCATGCTACATCACTGTACAGTGTGCTATGGTGATCTAGCAATCACATGTGCCTACATGTGATTGCCAGCTATGTCATCATAGCAACACACTCCCTGGGTATACTGCGCTATGGCAATGTAGCGGCAAAACCTACCCATGCGCCATGCACACAGCGCAGTAACCATCCATACTGTGCTGTGCTTTAGTACTTCCAAAAGGAAGTACTAAAGCAGGGAAATGTGTAGACACGCCCATTGTGTCTCAAACTGGGCACTCAAAAATGAAGGCGCAGCTCACTTCTTGCAATTTTTACCCACAATGCTTGTTTATCCATGATCCTATAACAATATACAACAAGTGACTGACCAAGTGCACTGATCTAAGACACAAAATACCCAGTTTATATTTTTTTCCCATTAAACATAGCAGAATTGGTCCTGAAATACAAAATTTCAAAGCTAGAGGCCCATTATACACAGGGCCTAACTGAGAAATCCAAATTCTGGTTCACCTTCTCATCCCTTTTCCCATAATTTTGTTGTTTGGATCCAAGATTTTGATTTAGGCCTATCTGTAGAAGCAAGAAATTTACCACATTTCAGAAATGTCTATGGACATCAAAGGGGCCCTTGTTCTACCATATTTAAATGAGATGTCAACAAGACTACAAATGACAATTGGAAGTAAATAAATATTGTCTCTTAATATTTTTTCTTTTTTAAATAGTCTTGCACTTAAATTGTCACTTAAATATTTAAGTCTTGTAGGCTATTAATACCATTTGTAAAGGTGGGTGCACTTAGAGCTTAGGAGAGGACACTTATGCAGGTTCATAGCCAATGAATATTGTAATGGTGGGTATGTGAGCACATACTGCTGGATGCTACAGTAATGAAACTCTACAGTTTTCTATTTTTTATCTAATGCACTGACTGGATAGTTTACAATTTCACGCAGGTGAGGTTCCAGTGTCCTCACTTCCACTGACATTCTGGTAAGATAATCCACATATTCTAATGCAAGTTGAATGTTACGGCCCTCAAAACTCAGTTGAAAAGCCTAATGGAATGGCCATTAAAAATATGCAATTATAGAAGCAGAGAACTAGGAGATTGTCTGCAAGCAGTGCTCCAGTTGTGTTTTAATACATAGAGTATAGTTAGTTTTAAATCTTTGGAATAAAACTTGGTTTCTCTCTTTCTCTTGTTTTTGTTACTAATATTATGTCATTGCCTTCAAAAGATGGTTAGATTTTGGTCCATATTCCATGCCATATGGGCCAGACATCATATTCCATCCCCACTTCCCCCCACCCAACGTTCAATTGACAATCACAGTGTGTATGCAAACTGTGAGGAAAAAAACAGCATCTTTTGAGAAGATTCAATCTCTCACTGGAGCCAAAGGTTGCAAAAAAACTGAGAACTCAAGTACCAAGGATCCTGGTGACTGCTCTTACATTTTACATGGATAGATTTGTTTTAATAGTTCAGTTCTACATCCCAAAACATAAATTAGGGATGCATTTTAACAGTCAGTGAGTCAAAACAGTCATGAGGGCAGTTGGCTAGTACAGTATAAAAGAACAGCAGCCATTTGTGGACCACATGCCATTTTGTTTCATTTCTAGACATACCTTGCAGGGATGGTCCCAGAATATACAAAATATACAACCTGTCCTAATAACCACCCCACCTGCTTGCATAGGCCATTTCATATGGTCCTAAAGGCAGTCTTTGGAGTCGGGGCCAGTACCAAATAGCTACAAAAGCAACTTACGTTAATATACTACTTTTTGTTGTTCTTTTTAAATGAAGGATTTAATCCACTCGAGCCAAGGAGGTAAAAAAAATGTACAGGATTCAGGGTGAGTGTGAGGTCTCCATTGATCCTTGATGGTAGTTCCTATCCGCCTCATGGGTTACTTTAGACTAATCATTTGGATAAAAACTCAGTGTTGTGTACCAAAGCTGACCCTTCATTTATTCTTACATTTTTTTTTATAGGAGTGGGCCATAGAGTCACCTTGAAGAATGGGAAGGGAGGACTTTGAAATTTTCTCTAAAAGATTATGGTGAATGAAGCCACTTTACTTGGAAGCTGTTTTCCCTTTTCCCTCTTGGGGACTGAAGTAGTATTTTTGGCTTTTTTTTTTTTTTTTGAATGATACTCAACCAAAACATTAGGTTGTCTCTTTAAAAAATATTTTCAGGTGGTCTTTACACAAATAAAAGTCAATGTTTTCAATTGGTTAATAGAACAGCAAGAACAAGCAACACAATTTGTCAATCAATCACTGTGGGTTGTGGCTAACATGCTCACGTGGTGCTGAAGGAAACCTGTAATCATGCCTGAGTGGCCAGTCCAAGACAGTTATCCAGGTGAAGAAAAGGAGTTCTGAAGATCAGTTGTTCATGGAGAAAAGATAAAATGCGTAAGCTTCCAAATAAGCTTTTCAAGTTTTCATTAGACAAACAAGAAGTCCTAGTTATGGCAATAAGATGATGCTTATGGCGGTATTACATGGTGTTTCGCAGGGACTTTTCCTTGGCCACTATGCAGTCATGTCAGCAGCTTCCCGAGTCCCTAGTGCATATGGTGTACAGTAGCCAAAAAAAATCAAAACAAAAACAATAAACAAAAATGCAGTCCTCCATGTAGTCTACATAAACTCAGGCCAAAAAGAGGATGTATGTGTCACAGGTGTCACTCCACAGTCTACTGCCATTAAGGCTACTGGTATGGACTTAAAAGGATCTTAATAGCTCAGTTCTAGGAAGAAGAACCAAAACCAAGATAGATCAAAGTGTCTGTGAAAAGTTGGACACATTGAATGTTAGGAATTCTCAGACAAAGAACAAATGAACCAAGAGGTTAATTTTGGCTACCAAACTGGGATTTGGTTTTCTAGGTCATTACTTTCCCCCCATCTATTTAAAAAGAAAAGTTAGTGCTACAAATATGCAACTTCAAGACAACGTGTTCTCCTATGTAGTTGCACTGAGAAGCAAGTTAAATAAGCCCCTCTTACTGCTGTCCACCTGCAGGGAAGCCTTCTTTATTTTCTTTGATTTTCCACTGGCAACAGCAGGAAACAAATCCAAGTGTAACAGAAGCACTGTAAGCAATTGTTCTGCCTTACTGACATCACCTCTACCCCATTTCCTTTCCTGCATCTTCTCCCATTCAGCCGGGGCAAGGCATAAAGAACAGATGTAGTATTTAAGTATAGTTGGGTGCATGACAGTGTGAGCACGTGGTCTGGGTACAGAGGATTATATGTGATTAAGTTCTCTTCTCCTGCAAGGCAGCGGGTTATAGCTGAGTTCCACCTTTACTCCATGACTTAGCTCAGACAGCATTTATGTGATGCTGACTGTTTTAAATACTTAGATGTGTCTCTTCATGTGGAGGGCAAGGTGATCAGACCTGGAGAAACACCTGCAAATTAAACAAAAGCCAGAAATAAATAAGAATGTAGCAAATGAGATTATCTACTACTTTTTCATTTATGTACACGGTCCATATGTACAGCGTCCTCCCAGATTTATAGCCATTTCCTAGGACATGCCACATAAGGCCATGAAGCCATGATGACTTCATCTATACCAGTGAGTAGCTGCACTGGATCTCTGACTGCTATATTTGTCAATACACTAATCTTCTCTCTGCCCCATAGATTCATTCTGTCAGAGTCTGGCAAATAGGCAAGTTAACTCATTAGCTCATAGTCACAAAAATAACGATAAAATACATACATAGAAAGTAAGATTTTCAAATGCTCTCCACCAGAAGATGGTGTCACATTTTCAAAAGAATTCAGCACTTGCTTTGGCACCAAAGAGGCCAAATATGAGTTTTGAGCTCCTTATTTTGGTACTCAGAGGGAAGCAGAGCATCTTTGAAAATATGGCCATAATACTGTCTCTGAGAATGTCAGGGCACTATGTAAATATTGGTGAAGACAGCCAGAGAAGTACCTTTGAGAGAAAAGGCACAAAGAGGGTAAGCAATTTCTCCCAATCACATAAGAAGTCTGGCAACACAAATAACAAAACCTCAAGTCTTTGGGTTCCACATTCTGTGCTCTATCTTTTCTCTATTCCACCTCACCTCAACAAAATAGCTTTGCATTTGCAAAAAGTATAGATGGTTGTTAGTGCTTATTAAAGGGTCACAGAATGCCCATTGTAGAGAGCAGAAACCTCTTTTTACTTTTTGAGGGCATGTCTACATAGGCCAGTTAATCTGGATTAAGGCATGATGTGAACTTAAAATGGAACAGATATTTTTGATTATTTATTCCCTGTATAGACTTTGATTCCAGAACAACTGTGCCTGATTCTGGTATCATATGGAATCATGGAGCATCCACAGGCAGTCAAAGAAATAAATAGAAAATCTTGTGGACTGGAATAACAGGAAAGGGATGAAATGTAATAATGCAGTAAAGTGGGAGCTCATCAGTTGTAAATGACTGAAGTGAAGGAGTTAATGACAGGATGACTAAGAACTGCCGATGAGATGCAACCATGAAAAAGGTAAATGCAACTGTAAGATGCATCAGTCAAGGTATTTCTAGTAGCGATAGAGAAGTACTAGCACTATTACACATGGTGGAATACCATATATCTTCATCTGAAATACTGTATATAATTCTGGTCACCCACATTTAAAAATGGGGATTGAACTGGAACCTATATGGAGGAGGGCTAGTAGGATGATCACACTGACTAATACAAAAGAAAAAACACCCTATCACACATGACATTTGCTACTTTTGATGGGATTGTGTGTTCTTCAAAACCTACAGGTCAGTGGATATTGTAGCAGAGACCACTTTCAGAATTAACCTGTTCCATTGCTTTGGAAATTCTCTCGTGCCTTTCAAAGCTATGCTGCAAAACAAATACTAACAAATGTTTTATAAAATAGCTTGTGCGAATCTGTGTAATGCATACATACAAATTTATAACAAATATATTTCCATAAAAACAACACTTGAATGGTCTGCATTTCTCAAGAAGCAGCAAGTAAGAAAATTAACACAACTACTGTTAAAAAAAATTGGAAAATTGTTTAACGGAAGCCATTCCGATAAATAGGTCCCATAGGCCTTGTGAACATGAGTCAGAGAAAGAGAAGCATCATAAAAATTAAAGAGGGCAAAGACCTGTTAGTGCATTTAGGCTGTTCTGCCAGTATTCCCTGTGTGGGTGCCAGTATTTATCATATTCACTCCCCTTACAAATATGCATTTATAAGACCAGGGGGAAAAAAAGAAAACCCTGCAAGAAGCCAATTTACATTTAGTAGTCTTCAGCTGGTATAAAGCAGCAGATTTCTACTGAAGACAACAGTGCTCCAGGGATTGACACCAGCTGAAAATCTGTCCCATGCATCTTCATAAATCAGAGAAAGAAAAATTAAAAGAAACAATGTATAATGATACGGAGGGGTGGAATCCTGCATTCTTTCCAGTGCCCAGATAAAGTAGTGCATTAAACCTGATAAGAAACAGGGACACTTTCCATAGGGCCACTGGCATCTAATTTAGCACAGCTAGAATTTTATAGCCTTAGGGTCCCAAATGGATTCTTGGACAGACATCTTTCCATCAGTACAAACTAGAAGAGCAGTATGTTCTGGGGACCAGTGCTGCCAAAAACAAAGCAACAGCTTGAATGGGTGCCAACACAATGGACACCAGCTGGCATTTTAGACTATGGGTAATCACAGGACCGCACCCAAACAGTGCTTCTCCTCTGGTAAAGGCAACCCTGATCAAGGGCCTGCTGAGTCACTAACATGGCAAGATTTGTTAACAACAGAATCAACATTGCCTGTCATAGCAATAGCCTCACAGTCTGCTACAGTATATTTTTATATCTGCTAAACTAGTACCTGACTAATTCTGAAGGTTCTCTCATTGATGCTAATTTGATTAGATTTTTTTTCCTTTTCTTTTTTTTCCCCTTGAGACTGCTGCCAGAGGGCACACAGATTTAATATAAAAGAAAGTCCCTGCATAATTTTATACCTCAACCCTACCATCAAAAAGCATGTCAGGATGCGAGCTGTGGAGCCATTAAGGACTGCCCATATTGTCCCTTCTTGGAACTAGAGCCAGTAATAGAGTAGACCCAGAAGAAGGAGCTGCCTACAAAGGTTGTGGAGACAGGAATCCAAGCAGAAGAAAGAACCCTGTGGATCCCTGGTTATTTTTGGAGCAGGCCTCCATCTACATACCTTTTCCAGTTCCCAGCTACGTTCTGCAACACAGAGCATGCTGGGCCAAGGTACAGCCTGCAGCAATCTCCAAGATGCAGTAATGCTATGTGTGTTTATGCACACTGCTATGGCTGTCCCTAGTAGGGACAACTTACAATGCTTTAAAGCATCCTAATTCCTGATGGGGTTGGGAGGAGGCAGGGGAGAGAGGGACAGTTGTATGCTCCTAAGTATACCCAGTTCCTCTGTTCCTTCTTCTCTGCCACAACTCAGCATCTATAGAGAAAAGATGCCTGTAGTGGGAAGAAAACTTAATGTTCAGCTGTCTTTTTCGTTTTGCATAGATTTTCCTCTGTGGGATTTGTTCCTCTGAGCTCTCTAGCCCTACAGCTAAGTGGGGGAAGGAGGGAGCACATAACCCTCATCTTGCAGTCCAAGGATACCAAAATATTATATATATGAAAGATTATGACACCAAGTTTCCTTCAGTTAAACATACATATACCCCACAAGACATTTGTGGCCACTGCCTGGTCCTTGCTTATCCTGATGTTCTAACAAATTCTATTACCTAAAGAAAGTAAAATCACCTATTGTTTGAAGAGCATCTCATCTCTAATTCCTAAGTAATGCTGGTGATAACCAACATATTCATGGTGCCTCAGGCACTCGAGACTTTTTGAACTCTTTCTGAGCCACTTTAGTTCCCTTTCTTTTCTCCCCTGATACCTCTAAACTGTACACATTCTCAGTCCATATACTCCTACTCAAAGTGGTAGGGGTTCGCCATCAAAAACTAACAATGATCTGTATACTGTACAACACGGAGCTAAAACTAAACACTTTATTTAAAGACAGCCTATTTGTCAAAAAAGAATAATTTACCATCATTTATTACACTGTAGATAGTTTACACCAAGAATAAAGGACTGATCCAAAGACATGGACATCTCCCTAATGTCTCCTATTGACTTCTTTGGACTTGGGTTGGTTGTGCTTTAAATGCTTTTACACAAAACTCTGTGAGCCTAAAGTCATAATGCTTTAAAAAGAAGTAGCTGACATTGATTCAAACAGAAAGAGACAACATGAATGTGTCTACAAATGGGGGAAAATTAAAGATGACAAATGCTAGTTTTACTTTTCCCTGAGTTCTTTCTGAAGAAGCTGATTAAGTAAAGGCAATGGTTTAGAGGTGAGGATCCTTCTCTTTCAAACCCTGACACAGAAAAGTACTTGTTCAAGTATAAGCTCATCCTTAAATACTTTTCTGACTACAGATGAACCTAAGTATATGGTAAAAAAGTGCTTGCCTGAATCAAGTCCTGGAACAATTTGGTGATAAAATGACTACAACTATGAAGAACTAAAAGGAAGTGTTACAGTCAAAGCAGACATAGTTAAACTGCTAGAGCATCCATCTGCCATAGTGAGCTGCTGAGTACAGAAGAAAAATATGACTCTTATAACTAGATCCAGTGAGAGAGTAGGGAAATTATTTGATCGCGGATGGATTAAAAACAGATGTGATCAAGTTGTGACTATTAGGTTAACCAATGGAAAAAGTATTTGGCAATATTAAAGGAACAAATTATTTGAACAAAGAACAAATAGGTTTTATAGGGATGGCTGCTAGAGAAAGTCTTAGCTAGGGAGAGATACATGTGAATATGGAAGAATAACACTTACCATAGGCTTAAGGGAGGCTGCAGGGTTAAGAGTGAGTGAAAAGATAGCAGAGTCTCAGGCAGGCAGGCAGCCTGGATGGAAGCCTGCCCCAGCTGGGGCTGGTTAAGCACTGGCTGCATGAGTAAGCCTTTGCAGCTGTGCCTGGAGTAACTAGGATTGGTCTCTCTCAGGGACTGGCTGCTGGTAGCGACCCAGGTATTTAGGAAAGCACTTTGGAAATGGCATTTAAGCTGCTCAGCATGGGAGTCTTTGGCTGTTGTTCTAAGTCCCTTTTCAGTTCTTGGCTCATTTTTGGGTCTCTGACTTTGACTCCTAACCTTTCGCTTATTGCTCAGTCTCCATATTTGGCTCCTGGCTTTTTGTCTTAGTTCCTAGTTCCAGACTGTGGCTCTACCCATTGGAATGGACTTCCATGCCCTAATTCCTTACAGCTTGACCAGCTTTGGTATACCACCGCTTCATCTGAGCACACCACAGAGACAGAAACCTTCCTGAGATGCCTGTTTGTAAATGAGGTGAAG